TTCTCTTTTTCTTTTCTTCGTCAATACTCAATAGAAAATACTTTTATAATAAAGTTTATTTTCAAAATTTTGGCTTAAAGTTTTTAAAACTTTTTAAATTTTAATTTAATTTTAAGTATTTCTTTCGAAATACATTTCCAAAATTTATCCCAAGTAGTATAGAATACATACCTTAAACTTGGGTATTAAACCAAGGAATTGGAAAAATAGACGGACAAAATGTCCATAAAATTTACAATGATTTGATGGGATTTAAAATTTAATCAATTTTTTTCATACATTAGAGAATTATGTGTTGTATTTCACATTCTCTTTTTCTTTTCTTCGTCAATACTCAATAGAAAATACTTTTATAATAAAGTTTATTTTCAAAATTTTGGCTTAAAGTTTTTAAAACTTTTTAAATTTTAATTTAATTTTAAGTATTTCTTTCGAAATACATTTCCAAAATTTATCCCAAGTAGTATAGAATACATACCTTAAACTTGGGTATTAAACCAAGGAATTGGAAAAATAGACGGACAAAATGTCCATAAAATTTACAATGATTTGATGGGATTTAAAATTTAATCAATTTTTTTCATACATTAGAGAATTATGTGTTGTATTTCACATTCTCTTTTTCTTTTCTTCGTCAATACTCAATAGAAAATACTTTTATAATAAAGTTTATTTTCAAAATTTTGGCTTAAAGTTTTTAAAACTTTTTAAATTTTAATTTAATTTTAAGTATTTCTTTCGAAATACATTTCCAAAATTTATCCCAAGTAAGTATTGATTACATACCTTAAACTTGGGTATTAAACCAAGGATTTGGAAAAATAGACGGACAAAATGTCCATAAAATTTACAATGATTTGATGGGATTTAAAATTTAATCAATTTTTTTCATACATTAGAGAATTATGTGTTGTATTTCACATTCTCTTTTTCTTTTCTTCGTCAATACTCAATAGAAAATACTTTTATAATAAAGTTTATTTTCAAAATTTTGGCTTAAAGTTTTTAAAACTTTTTAAATTTTAATTTAATTTTAAGTCTTTCTTTCGAAATACATTTCCAAAATTTATCCCAAGTAGTATAGAATACATACCTTAAACTTGGGTATTAAACCAAGGAATTGGAAAAATAGACGGACAAAATGTCCATAAAATTTACAATGATTTGATGGGATTTAAAATTTAATCAATTTTTTTCATACATTAGAGAATTATGTGTTGTATTTCACATTCTCTTTTTCTTTTCTTCGTCAATACTCAATAGAAAATACTTTTATAATAAAGTTTATTTTCAAAATTTTGGCTTAAAGTTTTTAAAACTTTTTAAATTTTAATTTAATTTTAAGTATTTCTTTCGAAATACATTTCCAAAATTTATCCCAAGTAAGTATTGATTACATACCTTAAACTTGGGTATTAAACCAAGGATTTGGAAAAATAGACGGACAAAATGTCCATAAAATTTACAATGATTTGATGGGATTTAAAATTTAATCAATTTTTTTCATACATTAGAGAATTATGTGTTGTATTTCACATTCTCTTTTTCTTTTCTTCGTCAATACTCAATAGAAAATACTTTTATAATAAAGTTTATTTTCAAAATTTTGGCTTAAAGTTTTTAAAACTTTTTAAATTTTAATTTAATTTTAAGTATTTCTTTCGAAATACATTTCCAAAATTTATCCCAAGTAGTATAGAATACATACCTTAAACTTGGGTATTAAACCAAGGAATTGGAAAAATAGACGGACAAAATGTCCATAAAGTTTACAATGATTTGATGGGATTTAAAATTTAATCAATTTTTTTCATTCATTAGAGAAAATGTGTTGTATTTCACATTCTCTTTTTCTTTTCTTCTTCAATACTCAATAGAAAATACTTTTATAATAAAGTTTATTTTCAAAATTTTGGCTTAAAGTTTTTAAAACTTTTTAAATTTTAATTTAATTTTAAGTATTTCTTTCGAAATACATTTCCAAAATTTATCCCAAGTAGTATAGAATACATACCTTAAACTTGGGTATTAAACCAAGGAATTGGAAAAATAGACGGACAAAATGTCCATAAAATTTACAATGATTTGATGGGATTTAAAATTTAATCAATTTTTTTCATACATTAGAGAATTATGTGTTGTATTTCACATTCTCTTTTTCTTTTCTTCGTCAATACTCAATAGAAAATACTTTTATAATAAAGTTTATTTTCAAAATTTTGGCTTAAAGTTTTTAAAACTTTTTAAATTTTAATTTAATTTTAAGTATTTCTTTCGAAATACATTTCCAAAATTTATCCCAAGTAGTATAGAATACATACCTTAAACTTGGGTATTAAACCAAGGAATTGGAAAAATAGACGGACAAAATGTCCATAAAATTTACAATGATTTGATGGGATTTAAAATTTAATCAATTTTTTTCATACATTAGAGAATTATGTGTTGTATTTCACATTCTCTTTTTCTTTTCTTCGTCAATACTCAATAGAAAATACTTTTATAATAAAGTTTATTTTCAAAATTTTGGCTTAAAGTTTTTAAAACTTTTTAAATTTTAATTTAATTTTAAGTATTTCTTTCGAAATACATTTCCAAAATTTATCCCAAGTAAGTATTGATTACATACCTTAAACTTGGGTATTAAACCAAGGATTTGGAAAAATAGACGGACAAAATGTCCATAAAATTTACAATGATTTGATGGGATTTAAAATTTAATCAATTTTTTTCATACATTAGAGAATTATGTGTTGTATTTCACATTCTCTTTTTCTTTTCTTCGTCAATACTCAATAGAAAATACTTTTATAATAAAGTTTATTTTCAAAATTTTGGCTTAAAGTTTTTAAAACTTTTTAAATTTTAATTTAATTTTAAGTATTTCTTTCGAAATACATTTCCAAAATTTATCCCAAGTAGTATAGAATACATACCTTAAACTTGGGTATTAAACCAAGGAATTGGAAAAATAGACGGACAAAATGTCCATAAAGTTTACAATGATTTGATGGGATTTAAAATTTAATCAATTTTTTTCATTCATTAGAGAAAATGTGTTGTATTTCACATTCTCTTTTTCTTTTCTTCTTCAATACTCAATAGAAAATACTTTTATAATAAAGTTTATTTTCAAAATTTTGGCTTAAAGTTTTTAAAACTTTTTAAATTTTAATTTAATTTTAAGTATTTCTTTCGAAATACATTTCCAAAATTTATCCCAAGTAGTATAGAATACATACCTTAAACTTGGGTATTAAACCAAGGAATTGGAAAAATAGACGGACAAAATGTCCATAAAGTTTACAATGATTTGATGGGATTTAAAATTTAATCAATTTTTTTCATTCATTAGAGAAAATGTGTTGTATTTCACATTCTCTTTTTCTTTTCTTCTTCAATACTCAATAGAAAATACTTTTATAATAATGTTTATTTTCAAAATTTTGGCTTAAAGTTTTTAAAACTTTAGTAGTAAGTATCCACCCCATTTCGGGGGGAGGGGTCCGGTCAAACCAAAGGGTGTAGGGGGTTTCCGCCTAATTTTCTTTGATTTTGCCGACAATATCCTATGGGTGTAGGGGGTTTTCGGGACATTTCCTTTGATAATTAGTATGACTAATTGACCAATTAGCACCTATTGAACAAATCGCTTTGAACTTGCCGATACATCGAAGTCGGGGGAAGGGTTAATTGGTCAATTAGTACCTACTAATTGGTTTTCACTGAATCTAACCAGCGAATCGTAGTCGTGGGGTAAGGGGTATAACAATTAGTGAATAATTAATTACATTGGGTGTTAGGGTAACTAACTGACCAAATCACAGGGATTAGGGTGTAGACGACCAATTAGTAATACTAAATGGTTTCTTTTATGTTACCGACAAATTGAAGTCGTGGGGGTGAGTGTTACTTGGACAATGGACAGTGGTACTTTGACAATGGACAAAATGGTCAACAACAATGATTTAACCCATACAGCTCTCTTTAGAGCTTTAAATTTAATAAGTGAAATGAGACATTGACTAATTGCTTAATTTTTGAATAAACTTCTAATTTGTGAAACTTTTGTTTTATTTTTTATTTGTTTAAAGGGTAATTAAATAACAGCGAGGAAAGGATTCCCTTTTAATCTGACGATGGCAGTGCGCGAAAGGTACAGTACTTTTTCATTTATTTTAGGAAGAGAAGGTTAGAGACACAGAACAGCAATGTGACTCTAATCCTCTCCTTTATTTTATAGAAATCCTGAATTCATTTCTGTGTTGTAGTAGCATGCACGGTCTAACAATACACTAGAGTCTGAGAAATAATTCAATTAAAAAGTCAGAGATGCAGAATAGTAACGTGACTCAAATTCCTCTTTTATTTTATATATACATTAAATTCCTTTCTCTGATATAAACCAGGAGCAACGGTCTAACATAACACCAGAGTCTAATGTTCAAATATAATTAAAAATCCTTTAAGCAATTTCAATTAATTAAATTAATGTGACTAATAATTAATAAGGGCGGAGCTTGTAAATATTAGCACCATTTTGTTAGTTAGCCGCAATTCCTCATATTTCATAAATTCATTTTTAATAATTTCATTATCCAAATTATTTTAATTTTGAAATCTTAGAATAGTTTAAAATGGCATTAAATATGAGCGACAAGAAATACCTTGCCTCCCAAATTCTTCCAGAGGTCGAATTTAGTATTACTTCAATAGGAATTACTCTCTCCAGCTCCCGCATTTCCACACCACGCTTTGTTCCCTACGACCAAGCTGGTAAATGTCGTGAATGCAAGAGCACAGAGGTTGAGCTCGATTTTGCAATCACCAAGGAGGGAGTAACAACATGGTGTACTCGCTTTTCAGGGAGCCGTTTTGTACCATTTGACAAAATATACGACTTACCTGGTCATTGCTTTTTTAAAATTCGTAATAAAGGAAGAGTCTTTAATATAAATGGCAGTTTTTGCGACGTCAAATGTTGTGAGGAAAATAAGGATATGAAAACAAATATACCCCCACCATCGATTCTTCCTCCTCCTCCAGCAACTACGGCTCTTCCTCCTCCTCCTCCACCACCTTCAGCTCTTCATGCTCCTTCTCTTAATATCCAAGCTACTCTCTCAGCTCCTAAGACTCAAGCTCCAATTACACTCCCTGCTCCTCTTCTTTCACCGCCATTAGCAACTCCACCAGTCTCTCCGCCATTAGAACCACAACCTCCCACACCTTCTACTGCTGAAGAAGGAATACTTAATGAATTCTTTGACAAATTATCGGCTGCTACAGCAGGGATCCCAACTCAGGCGCAAAAATTGGAAGCTCTGAAGGAGCAAGCGGCTGAGATGGAAAAAGAAGAGATGGAAGCAATTGCTTCAATTCAGTAAATCATTTTAAAAAATTTTTCGATTTATTATTTTCAATTAATTGTAATTTTATTTTCCTAAATTGTTTGTTATGGAATCTATCACATTTTCGAATATAGAACTGAATTTTAAATCGCCTTTTGGTATGATTGTTTCAGGTCCGAGCTCTAGTGGAAAGAGCACTTTTTTATTAAAATTTATTGCCGAAACAGCTTACTTAGTTCATCCCACACCCAAATCTATATTATACTGCTTTGGTGAAATGAGTAATATTGTACCTCTTCTTCAAAAATCCGGAGTAAGTGTATATGCAGGTGCTCCTCCAGAGGAGCTTATTAAAAAATTTTCAAAACCTTTGCTCCTTATCCTCGATGACTTGCTCACTTCGATAGATGAAAAATATTTGTCTGAGCTTTTTACGAAAAAGTCGCATCATCAAAATTTTTCAGTCGTATTTGTCACGCAAAATTTATTTGAGAGAAAGATAAAGGTTGCTCGCCAGAATGCTCAATACTTAGTGTTAATGCGCTCTCCAAATTCTGTTTTATCTGTCCGTAATATTGGTGTACAGCTCTTTCCTCGTCAATTAGATTATTTTCTTGACGCTTATAAACAAGCTACTAATGAACCTTATGGATATCTGGTTATCGATATGCACGCCTCTTCAGATCCTAGTTTGAAACTTCGGACAAACATATTTAAAGAGGACGAAGAAAAAACAATTTTCATTCCTAAAAACGGTTATTAAAATGGTTAGTAATTTAGTAAAAGAAAATATTGAATTTTTACAAAAGCTTGCTCGAACAAAGTCCCAACAAAAAACCAGGAGACTCTTAAAAGTGGCAAATTCTCAACATCTTTTGTCTTTAGCAGAAATTTGCTTAAATATTGTCAAATCAAGATTTAATCTTTCTACTCGTCAAAAGAAACGTCTCTTACCATATGTAGATTTTGTTCGGCGTATGAGCCGTGCCAGGAGCGAGAGAGGAGCTAGAAAAGTTTTAAATCAAAAAGGGAGCGGGTTTGGAGTAGGAGCATTTGCAGCGCTCATTACTCCTATTCTTATTGAATTGGCGCGATCATTTACTATAAAAAGCAAAAATTAATTTTAAAATTTAATAATAATAATAATAATGGCAAATAAATTTGTTCTCGTCCCTCAAGATATTTATAGAGGACTTACAACTTATGATACTGGCGAACCAAATATTGATTTTGCAAGAAGAGAGGTTGAAGGAGCCAAAAGTAAAAAGAATAGGTCTTCAGTAAAAAATATTCTTTACAATCAGGAGCTGAGGCGTTATCTAAGTATGAGGAATGAGCGAGAGAATCGCCCTGTTAAGGTAGAGCTCGTTGCTTCTCCAAAAGGAGCTATCATGAGACAAAATTTAGTCCATCCTTCAACAAATATCAATGAAAATGATGACGATCTGTGGATGAGCGATGATCTTTCATTCTCGTCCTATCCAGCACAACCTCCTAATAGAGCATATAATCTCGTTCCTCCTCCTTCTATTCCATCATCCGAGCAAAATTACGAGGCTCCTCAATTGCCTTCACCTCCTATTTCTCCTACACAACCAAGTACTTCTAAACCTGAATATAATATCAATTCTAAGAAGTTAAGAAATGTTTCAAAAAATATTAAAAAGAGTAAGAAACCAAAGAAGAAAGGAAAGGCCAGATATTCTTCCTATATTGAAAATGAGAGCAATACTAATGAAGATATTCCACTGTATCCTTCTCCTCCTACTAATGAAAATATTCCATTGACTCCTTCTCCTCCTATTCCTCTCCAAACTAAAAAGAGAGAGCAAGATTCAAATAACAATGAAGGGGTTAAAAAAAGAAAGAATACATATGAAAACAAAGAAATTAGGACTAGACAAATAGAAACAGCGCAAATTCAAAAAAGGAAAGAGCTATTACAAAGAAGGAAAGCTGCTCAAAACGTTAAAGCACCACTTGATCATGGAGCATTACAACAAATGCGTCGTGATGATGTGGCAAAGCTACTGAATAGAGCCAAACCATCTCGACAACGTCATAGAATACTTAGAGACGGTAGATCTCCCTCACCTCCTATATCGCGACAACTTTTTAAACGGAAAAGGGAGGGTTCTCCAGAAAAATAGGAGAAACGAATGAGAAGATCTGTTTCAAAAAGCCAATCAGAAAGGGCGGGCCGCTTATGGGCAAAAAACCTTATTAAAGCTAGACGTAAAGAAGCGAATTCTTCCAAATTTAAACCATCACTTTGGTAAATTTAAGAAAAATGACAGATTATATTAAACTCTTAAAACAATTGTATAATAATCCAGAATCGCCTTCAGCGTTTTCAGGAATCGATAGTCTATGGTATGAGGCTAGAAAAATTAATAAAGATATACCGAGGAGCGCTGTACAAGATTTTCTGGAAGGACACCGCACCTATACTCTAATGCGACCAAAGAGGGTGCATTTTCCTCGAAGTAAAACAATAGCAGCAGGATTCATGACAGATGTCCAAGTAGACTTGGCCGATTTTCAAGCTCTCTCCAGACATAATAAAGGCAATCGATATTTGCTGCTAGGAATTGATGTTCTTTCAAAAAGGCTCTTTGGAGTCCCTGTCAAAGCAAAGAAAGCTGAAGATATGGTCGAAGCATTCAAGCTCCTCCTGACTCAAATGCCCATGAAACCACACAGAATATTTTCAGATAAAGGCTTGGAGTTTCGCAATAAATTACTAAAAGAATATTTTGAAAAAGAAGAGATACAAAAGATTGAACCCGTCCACTCAACAGTTAAAGCTTCATTAGCAGAGAGAGCAATCCGAAATGTTAAACAGCGACTATATCGATATTTTTCTCAAAACATAATACTCAATTGGATTGATGTTTTGCCGAAAATTCTTGAAGGAATCAATAAGTCAAAGTGTAGAGTACATGGGATGCGACCTATCGATGTAAATTTCGAGAACGCTCAGGAGGTATGGAAGAAAATTTATGGAGAATTTGATTTTACAAAAGGCAAACCAAAGTTCAAGGAAGGAGAGAATGTAAGGATGAGTGTTGGGAAAGGAGCATTTGAAAAAGGGTATATTCCAAATTGGGGCGATGAAATTTTAAAAGTTGATCAGGTGTTTAACCAGGCCAAACCAATTCGATACAAAGTTAGAGATGAGAAAGGTGAAAGATTCAAAGGCTCCTTCTATGGAGAGGAGCTGGCTCGTGTGCGAAAAGATGCAGATACTGAGTACCGAATTGAAAAGGTTTATAGAAAGAGAAAGAGGTCAGATGGAACATATGAGTTGTTAGTAAAATATATAGGATATCCAGAACGAGAATGGATTTCAGAGTCGCAATTAGTATAAAAGACATTCATTTGTTTCATTGTTTATCAATTTATAATTTTTCATCTATTTGTAAAAAAATTTTCTATAAATAAAAATGTCAAATAGTTTCTTTGTATTTCTTGAAAGCAATACTACAGATTACCCAGATAATCAGCCAAATAAATTTCGAGTCCATCTCCCCAAGCCTTTGTATTTTTCAGGTAATTGGGTTTGCGGAGTACATAGTATAAGTTACCCATTCTCTTGGCCATCAACAATTGGTACGCTTGATGAGCAATGGTTGAAAATACATTTTATTGATGACAATTTGAAGAAAAATGTTCTCCAAGTACCAGTTCCTGCAGCATCTCATAATAGTGTTGAAGCTCTCAGAAATTATTTATCCACAACACTTAAACATCAGTCTGATGCTATAGACTCTGTTGAAAAACCAGGAGCATTTATTCCTCCTCCTTCTCTGCTCTCATCTCCTCCGAGAGCTGAGAGGATTAAACTCCTAGAGAGGAATTAAAGTCTCCTCCAAGGTACAAGGAAGATAATAAAACTCCATCTCTAAAACCTGAAAAAGAGCAAATTAGTACTACACAAAAATCTCCAGACTCTATTACTCCTAGTGCTGTAGATTTATCAAGAAAGGATGAGAAGAAACCTAAAGAAAATAGTACACAAAAATCATCGGTTTCAAGTAGTGCAGGGTTGGAGAGCAATAAAAAGGAGGAGAAAAAATCACAAAAACGTCCTGCGAGTGTATTGGATAGTATAGGCTTAGGGAGCTCGAAAAAAGAGGAGAAAAAAGATGAGCAGAAATTACAAAAACCCTCATCTACCGTTTTGTCTGCACTAGGATTGGCTAAAAAGAAAGACAATATGACACAGACAACACCTCCAGCTTCGCCTACTGTATTAGAAGTTATGGGATTAAAGGGTTCTAGGAAGGAGCAATACAATTCAAGAGCTGACAAATTGTTTGAAGTTCTATTTGGTAAAGACTATAAACTGAAGGAAGCAACACCTAATCTTACTCTTCTAAAAAATATAATAGATTCAATTGAATTACAGTATCTCAAGGATTTTTCTCGCTTCAAGGCAGTTTTTAAAAACGAAAGCATATTATCGATTTCTTTCTCCCCTCAACTTGGGTATGTCTTAGGATTTTCTAATCCTAATAATGTTTATAATAATGAAATTGCAAAGTACGGTTGTGATTTGAGAGGAGGGTTCTCAAGTTTTGCCATATATGCCAAAGGATTGACAGAAAACATGATTGTCGGAAATTCCCTCAGCTCTCTTCTTCGAGTTGTCTCTATTTCAGGTGCAGTGCCGGGAGAATACAATGAGAAGATTTATGACTCACCCATCTACGCGCGTGTGCTCCCTAGAGAAATTAATGAAATTGAAGTTGAATTAAGAACTATGGATAATGGAAGATTAGTCCCTTTTGCTTTCGGAACAGTTCATATTGTATTAATTTTTAAAAAAGTGATAAACTTTTAATTTCGAATTTCATTTCTATATAAATAGCTCATTTTTAAAATTTATTCATTTTTAGTTTTAAATTAATTTAAAAATGGTTCATATTATTTTTGATACAAGTACGGTATCCTACGATAATTTCCTGCCCAATGAGATGATTGGACACGGTATTTCAGACGAATATAATTATTTCAGAGGAGCTCCTCCCTTTCAAAGGGGTTATGGTCAAAGAGGAGCAGGCGTTGGTGATGTGATGCGAGGTCTCTGGCGGTTCATACTCCCTATTATTCAAAGAGTAGGGAGTACTGTATCTGCGGAAGCTCTTAACACAGGACAGAGAGTCTTAGAAAGAGTTAACAAGGGAGAGCCAATAAAAGAAGCATTAGTTAGTGAAGGAAGAAAAGGAATCGATACTGTGTTGGAGAAAGGTGGTCTCCCTAAACAGTTTGGAACAGGAGTAAAAAAGAGTATAAAAAGGAAACGAGAATTAGATAAACTTCATCAAACATTTATTAAAAGAAAAAGATTACGAAAAGACGCTTTTGGTCTCTATTAAAAATTATTTAAAATAATTATGGCTTTCCACAAAATTGACGGAGAAAGTATCAATTCTATAACTAATGCTCTCGACTTTTTTCATGTTCCTCCTACAAATGTGAGCATCTCCTCCTCCAAAGTATTTGAAATTCTTCCTAGTAACCCTCTCACAGATACTCCCTACCACTTTAAAATTCATTCGAGTTCAAACTACATTGATTTATCAAAATGTTATTTACTCACTGAATTTCGCATTCGGAAAGAAAATGCTAGTGGTCAACTTGTAAATTTAACCCTAGACGAAAATGTGGCACCAATACAAATGATTGGTAAAACTTTTATTAATAATATGAGAGTTAGTGTAAATGGTAGAGAAATTTTCAACTCAAACTCACTCTACGCATACAAGACCTATTTGTCTCATGAGCTCTCTTACTCAGCAGGAGCAAAGAGCTCTCACTTAAATTCTTCTGGCTATTATTATGAACCTGGAACAAATCAGCAGTTAGGGAGCTCTTTTAATTCAAGGAAAAGTCTATTTACTAACAGCAGAACGGCCCAGTTTGTTTCAAAATTAGACGCAGATATCTTTAATCAACCACTATATTTAATTAATCATTGTGAGGTTGATATTGAGATTCTACCGAATGATAATAGATTTGTATTGATAGCTCCTCCTACCCCTCCAGCTCTCGCTCAAGCAACAAATTATCATTTTGAAGTAGTGAGCTGCAAGCTCTATGTTAAAAAAGTTGAGCTCATGGATGGACTGGCTTTAGATATTACAAGAAAACTTGATACAAAACCAGCTCGCTATGCTGTCAGGAAAACAATGATGAAACAGTTATTTATAAGCCATGGTCGTTACGAATTTAATTCAAATATATTCATGGATCAAATCCCTAGGAGGATAATTTTAGGTCTCGTTTCAAATTCGGATTATGTGGGTACAGTTGAGCGCAGTCCGTTTAATTTTCAGCATTTCAATGTCAGAGAAATTAGTATTATTGCCAATGGAAGGTCTTATCCTCAGGCTCCTTATGATCTAGATTATAGAAATTATAAATATGCTAGAGCGTTTAATGATATGAACGATGCTCTCGGTTTTGCAAATTCATGTGAGAGCAACGGGATTACTTATCAACAATTTGGTCAAAGTAGCTGTATTTATGTCTTTAATCTTACTAATAGTGGAGATGAACAAGGAGGCTCATTTGATTTAATAAGAAACGGAACAACTGCAGTAAATATTAAATTTAGCCAGGCCGTTCCAGAAGGAGGAGCAATGCTTATTGTAATGGGAGAAGCTGACTCTCTTATTATGCTCGATAAAAACCGAACTATTGCAAGTGATACTACCATTTGATATTATTTAAAAATTTTTTTAGCTAAAATGAAATTCATAATTTTTACTCTAATTTTTGCTCCTTGCTCCTACTCTTTATTTAAAGATACAGATGTAAATTTGGAAAGTTTACCTGAATATTCAGAGTTTATTAAACAACTTAGACCATCTACTACTTCTTTACCTCTAATAATAGGATTTCCGAATAAAAATCTTCCAACAATACAACTTTGCAAAGAGAGCCCGGGAGATGATATATATGGACACATCTTTTGTTGGGGAATGATTGGACTTTATTTTGTGCTCATTTTAAGTCTCATTGTCTATCAACTTCGATCCTTCTTTTGGGTAATTTTTCAAAGAAAAAGATATAATAATACAGATGTACAGCAGTCAAATATTGAAAATTTTGAACTCAAACCCTTTAACGAGCCAACTATTTCAGGGATGTTTTCCGTGTGACAGGCCTCCTCCACAAATTGCTCGGCACCCTTCAGTGCTCATCATAAATTTGGACTCTCAAAATTTAGGAGGATCACATTGGATTGCTCTTATATACACAGAAGGAAGAAAAGTGATTTATTTTGATAGCCTAGCTCTCCCTATTAGTGAATGTATATCTAAACATTTCTTGAAAAATTTTTCTATTCTAAAAAATGTAAATCCCTATCAATCTCCTTTAGCAAAAACTTGCTCTCACCACTGTATTTCCCTTGTATATTTTCTTTCTCTAAATTATTCGTTCCCACAATATATTAAATTGTTGGATTCTCAATCTAACCCTGACTTGTTTGTCACAAAAATTGTAAATAAATTAATTAATCAATAAAATTTAAATTTTGTTTGGCTTCAATTTTATTAAAAAATAGGATTTCAAATAGAGGGAGGTTATGGTATATAGAGCTAAGGGGAGGGCTACTTTGCATAAGCTCTCAAAAAAGATATAGGAGGAGCGCTTGCGCTCATTCTCCAATAATTTACACAACTAATATTCCTCCTAAATATTTTTTTGCTCATTTTTTACTTAATTTTTTAATAATTTATTTTCCAGAACTTTAGAAATTAGCTAAAATAATAATTATGGAGCAAACTTTCGCCAGTTTTTTAAATATTAAGGATATTGAGCAAGAGGTAATTTTAAAAATCTTAAATTTTTCATGGAAATTTTTAGGGAGCTAAGCCATTTTTGGCTCATACTTTCGCTTCTCCGACTGAAATGCCTCAAAATGCTGTTGAGCAAAGAGTTTTGGAGGTAAATGTTTCGAAAAAATCAAATTTAACTTAAATTATTTAGGGAGCAGCAGAATTTTGGGACTGCTCTTGGCATCCATTGACAAAGGAAGTCAATCAAATGTTAAAAAATGGAGAGAAATTGGACTACTCCACATTTCTAGGATTCTTGGACCATAACTACGAGCTCTCAACTTGGTGTAATCAATGCTTTGAGACGCTATTTGGAATGAAGCAAGAAGAAATTATAAAAATTGAAGGAAATACATATACTTATAAATTTTTGGTATGCAAAGATTGTGCGCAAATTATTAAATATGCAACTTTCCATTTCTAAAATATTTTTTATTGTTCGGTCCCTTTAATTTATTTATACTCAAGTGAATTGTAGTTTAATTAATTAAATAAAAATTTGAATTTATTTTTGGCTTTGCTTTTTTTAAATATAAGATAGAAAAAATAGTATTTTAATTTTCCCGCCAAAACACCATCTGTTGTTTTTTCTTGAGAAGCGGCACTCATTAAAAGAAAGGAAGTGACTGGCAAATAAAGAAAAGAAAATAAGTGTGCGCAGAGCTGGCAAAAGAAGAGAGGGAAGATAGTGGAGGGGGGCTGGTTGTGGCAACTTTTCTCTTGTTGTTCTTTTCATTATTGTAATCGATATTCATTAAGTATATTTTTAGGGTTTATTTATCCTTTTAATTTTTTTTTAAATTTTGCCATCCTCCATCCTTAATAAATTTTAATTTTTATAATTCAAATTATCATAGCACTTTTATCTTATCAAATTTAAAGATTATCTGAATATCATTTAATCTTTTAAAATTTTTTGTTTTTTAGCTAAAAGTTATACTTAAAATTTTTCAAATAAAAGATTATATTTTTTAAATTAATATTATTTTCTAGTGTTTTTCCTCATTGCTCTCTTTGTCTTTGCTGATTAACTTTTGCTCCGTATCCCTTGCTCCTCATATTTTATCATTATTTTAACTATATAACCATATATTATTTTTAAATACATTAAAACAAGTTGCTCCTTACTCTTAACTTTTTATCAAAATTTTTTGAATTTAATAAATTTACATTTATTTTAAATAAATTTTTCTATTTATTTCCCAGTTGCTCTTAGTTCTCTTATTTACCTACATGCTCCTCTTTTTTTATACTTATATTGAACTATTTAATTTAAAATATCTTGTTTTTAGGAAAGAAAATATTATCAGGTAGGTAATTTTTAAAGTTTTAGTATTTTATTTGAAAAATATTTTAAATTTACAGTTAAATTTACATTTATCTAAAATAAAATTTTTTTATTGCTTTTCATTTCCCAATTGCTCTTAGTCTTATTATTTTTTACCTACTTGCTCCTCATTTTTTCGATACCTAATTTAAACTTTTTAATTAAAAATATCTTGTTTTTAGGAAAGAAATATTATCAGGTGGATAATTTATAAAGTTTTAGAATTTAATTTGATAAAAAAAAATTTTTTACATATTTTAAATATTGCTCTATTTATCGTACTGTGCTCCTTAATTTTTTCAACTAAATTTTTCCGACTGATTAAAAACTTATTATTTAATGCTCTCACTTCTGCTCTTTTGCTCTTTTTAAATAAAAATTTTTAAATTTAAAAAAATTTAATTTAAAATGATATTATTATCAAATTTATTATTGAATCTAGTTAATTTTGGTTTTATTCTATTTTTAATCCTTTTTGCTCCTTATCACTCTTGCTCCAAAGTAATTGCTCCTGCTCCTAATTGCTTATAGTTTTACTCCTGCTCCTAATTGTCTATAGTTTTTCTCCTGCTCCTAATTTACTCTTAGTTTTGCTCATGCTCCTAATTTGCTTATAGCATTGCTCCTTCTCCTATATTGAATTTAACCTTAAATATCAACTAATTCAAAATTTAAATTAATTTATTAAAAATATTTAAGAATTGAAACTTATTATTCGATGCTCTCATTTCTGCTCTTTTGCCATTTTTAAATAAAAATTTTTTAATTTTAAAGAATTTAATTTAAAATGATATTATTATCAAATTTATTATTGAATCTAGTTAATTTTGGTTTTATTCTATTTTTAATCCTTTTTGCTCCTTATCACTCTTGCTCCTAAGTAATTGCTCCTGCTCCTAATTTGCTTATAGTATTGCTCCTCCTATATTGAATTTCTCCTTAAATATCAACTAATTCAAAATTTAAATTAATTTATTAAAAATATTTAAGAATTGAAACTTATTATTCGATGCTCTCATTTCTGCTCTTTTGCCATTTTTAAATAAAAATTTTTTAATTTTAAAGAATTTAATTTAAAATGATATTATTATCAAATTTATTATTGAATCTAGTTAATTTTGGTTTTATTCTATTTTTAATCCTTTTGCTCCTTATCACTCTTGCTCCTAAGTAATTGCTCCTGCTCCTAATTTGCTTATAGTAT